TATATATATATTACTTTAAGGCAGGGGTGTCAAACTTACAATAAGAGGCCAAGATTAAAAATTTAGTCAACTAATGCACCAATTTCAATCAATACATTAACTCAAGTAAGATACTTGATATCTTTTTTTGGGGGGTGAGGGTGCAGGTGCATTAACTAAAGTTTGATTGGTCTAATTTGATGTTCTTTGTTGTTGTTTTTTTCAAAGTCATAATATAAAAACTACTGAAAAATCAAACTGAGACATCACTAAATGATCTATCAGTTTTAAAGCAGAAGGAGATGCAATAGAAATATTTTACATGTAAGATATCGTCCTGGAGGGATAGATAAGATGTTAACGAGGGCCAGATTTGGCCCGCGGGCCTTGAGTTTGACACATGCTTTAAAAAATACTTAAGGTCTTTAGCTTGTTTCATTTTTTTTTTTTGCTTAATTTTCAAAGCAGTACATTTATTTGAAATTAAAACAAATTGCGTTATTTTCTCCTTAAGAAAATTTGCACCTTGACTTATTGATGGCCACCAGTTTCTGCACAGCGTGACCCTGGATGAGTATTCGAGCGTTCTCGGGGTTATCGGTGATGATCTCATAGATCGTGTTCAGGATGGACACCACGGTGTCTCCCTCGAGATTCTTCACGGGATGCTGCTGTCCACAAGGCAGATTAGCAACAAGTTCCCTCAGAGCGTAGTTCCCTGAAACAGGAGGCAGAGGGAATGCACAGCAGAGTCACAGTGAGTGTGCAGGCACAGAGCTTTATATGTGCAGGAACAGTTATAGGTCTGTACCAATTAGGTCTTTATTTCTTCTGTCAATAGCCAGGTTGCGAAGAGCGATGGCCACCGCTCGCACAACTTTGTCCACATCCGAGCGTAGGAGCTCCACTAAAATCGGCAGCCCTTTCTCTTTTCTCACTGTCACCCGTATGTAGCTGGACCACTACAGGCAGAAACACAGAACAGCCAGTTGGCTATGAATCTTGATTTTTTTTTTTTCATTCACAAGTAATGTGACCCCTCCAAAAAAAAAAAATTATAATAATTTAAATAAATATATGAACAAATAAAGAAAAAAATAAATAAGAACCCTGCATCCTGCGAAGCGACATTTCATAGTCTGATTGAGCACATTATTTGGAAGACATATGGAGCCGCTCGGGGAAATTCAGTAAAGAGCCAAAGTTAGTCTTGATCTTGAAGGCTGAGGACAAGGTCGGTGCACATTTACATTACTCTGATTAATGATGGTGCCTCAGAAACAAAACCAACCAGCTGAGAAGAAAAACCCCAAGCAGGCATGCCTCCAAGTCCAGCCCTAGAGAAGCCGTCTTGTTTGACCCTGCACTTTGCAGACACATCCTCACTAAACTCACTTCTAGAGCTTCGTTCTTGCAAAAATCGACTCTGAGTCTCATTTTAAGCTTGAAATCAGAGGCAGCGGGATGCACGCCGTCGATCCGCTCCACCAACAACGCGTGAAGACATTTTACAAACTGTGACAGCAGTCGTGCCGCCGTGACCTCCCCTACAATAAATGCTCCTTTCTCAGCGGTGCGTTCAAATGAAGCCGGCTTGAGACGCAGTGCACGAACAAGTGCAACTAGATTTGAAGTCTTACGCGAACTATAATTATGATAAAGAACTTTGAACTGTTCTGTTCACTCACAGCCCAGTGTCCTGCAGCGAGGTTCTGCAGTGCTCCTGCAGCTGCCTCCAGGGTGTTGTGGTTGTGACTGCAGGTGAGAAGAGACAGGTAAAGCCTCACCACCTCTGGTTGGTACAGCAGCTCCAAACCTTGAACAGAAATTAAGAAAAAAAAACACAATTATTTTCCATCATAAAATGATTCTTCTCCAAATCTTGCAGTATTTTGTTTATGTCCTGGATTTACTCTATTTGGGTCAGTAAAAGTTAGTAGGTTAGTGGCTATATATATATAAACAGATTGATTACGCTGAACTGCAATGGAGAAGTGTGACAATTCCTGCAGATGGTTTTTGTATTTTTTTACTTTATTGCTTTAATTCAGTTGACAAGTATTACTGTATGAGGCTGACCCTGAACCATATGATTGTCATTTTGATTTGCATTCACTGGCTGCAGCGTGGGAGGCATTACTCTGATTTCAATTCTAACGGCAGTCGGAGGCCTGCAGCAGCTCTGTATGTATTTTCCACCTCCCCGTAAGTTCCTTTATTCATACCGTAATCATGGCAACAAGAAAACGTTAGGAAACTAGACATAATGTAAAAATAGTGTAGCAGAGCGAAATGGGAACATGTAGAGTGAATGAAACATGGAGCAAAAATTGGCGGCTTTATATTATGTCATTCTCCTGATAATATGGTATCAGACGTTGGACCATTTTACTTTAGTAATCAAATTGTCCACAAGTGGTGCAGGTGTTGGTGTGGTGCTGCATTTAAATGATTTCACCAATGTCGTCCTCACACAGTCAATAGCACAGCAGAGAGCATCTGCTGCCCTGACACACTATACTACAACAAAAGTGAAAAACATCATGGAAGCGCTTCATTTTACTAACAACTTAATATAAAGCCTGCTTTGCCTCCTGGAGCATTTGTGATGGATTTAAAATGCAGGGTTAGGATAATTGTTACATTTTCTTAATAAAGATATACCTTTTATTATTTCTGTACATTTTGGCAAATCCAATGTACTGTATTTTCTGTCCATAAATCCCTTTTTCCAACCTGTACATCACAAATACACAACATGCACACAAAACATCAGCCCAGAGTTACAGACATCAACAAATTCACTGTGGTATGGAATCACGTTATTACTGCTTTGAGAACATCCAGGCGGACTGACCTTGACTGAACCACTCTTCTTATGAATGCAGTTTTTAGGAGAGGAGAAACAAAAATCAAATACAGAGATTGTAGATGTTGCTTCAGAAAACACACAGAGCTCCTCCGTGTGGCGACACTCTGAGCTACTGATCGTATCGAGGTGATGTTTGGTTTCGTTCTGCAGCTTCAGTGAGTGGCATGAAACTAAATCACCGTGAACAATAACCTGAATGACTTTCCATGAAGTTGTTGTTCCCGGCTCAAACTGCTGCACTCTGCTCTCTCTATTTTAGCTGAGATCTACTGTAAACATTATTTATATGAGTTGCACATTACTGCCCACAACAATTTAAAAACAACACTTTAAAGGTAATAAGCAACTGCTAATACAGATCATTTTTGCTTGTCTTTACTTACTCAAAGCATTAGCATGAGACAACTTTTTGCTTAACTTTTAACTTTTAGTTAAATTCAGAGTTTTTAGTCATTGAATTGCTCATTTTACTATAGCTACAGTTAGGCTTTTTTAGCATTTAGCTACTGTTTAGCTAATTTTAACTTTTAGCTATAGTTTTGCTAATTTCCGCTTGAAGTTATGGTTGTCATTTTAGGTTTGAACTATGGAATGGCTAATTTGCTATATTTAATTTTAGCTATTATATTGTTCATTTTAGCTTTTAGCTACTGCTCTCATTTTTGCTTTAACATTTATGGGTCTGCTCCATTTATCTTTTAGTTACTCGTTTACTAAATTAAAGTTTTAACCATTATTTTTTGTTAATTTGTGCTTTTAACCATGGTTTTGCTCTTTTCAGTTTGTAGCAATTGTTTTGTTCATTTTAGCTCATAGCTACCGTTTTGCTCATTTTTAAATTTTAGCTGTGGTTATGTAAATTCTAGCTTTATATACTGTCTTGCTAATTTAAAGTTTTAGCTACTGCTTTGCTAATTTTATCTTTAAGTTGAGATTTAGCTGATTTTACCTTTTAATTATGGTTTTGCTCTTTTCAGTTTGTAGAAATTGTATTGTTAATTTTATCTCTTAGCTACTGTTTTGCTAATGTTTAGATTTTAGCTGTGGTTATGTTAATTCTAGCATTTAGGTATGCATTTGCTACTCTTACCTTTTATGTACTGTATTGCTAATTTAAAGCTATAGCTACTGTTTTGCTAATGTTATCTTTAAAATGAGATTAAGCTAATTTTAACAAATAGTCAGCTTATTTCATCTTTAACAAATTCAAGTCTCATCGCATTTACACAAAAACCATACCGTTTCTCCGGTTTGATTCTATCTTTGAAATTTTAAATGTTTAACCTTTTTTCAATCATTACACATTGAAAAAACTCTTTATTGACAATTATAAAGTTTACAAACCTTTGGGTCTTTTTCCTGTACAACACTCAGCCTCACTTTTCTTCTGATGCCCCACGGATCTCATCAGATGACCAGCGTGGGGCTCCTGGAGCCGCTCAGCCCCTGGTATTTCTTTGTGGACGTGATATGACAGGTTTCGGAGGATGCACACACAGTTCTCCACCGACTGAATTGAAAGCAGTGACAGAAAATTCATGATGAAGATGCTGCACAGAATGTCACATCGTATTGATCAAGTCCTCAGTTTCCTTTCATTAAAAAAGTAGGTCTATTGATTTCTCCTTGCAAAAAAATTGAAACTCTAAGGATAGGTTTGACTTTGGAGAAGGCTATCGATACTTTAATGCTCAGCATTAATCGTCTGCATCACATGTCAACAGATAAAAGCTGTTAACTAATGCCAAATCAAAACAGTCTCGGTGGAGTGGTTGCTATGAAGTGAAACGATTTTGAACGAAAAACTTCAAGAATAGTTCAGTTGTTGCTGAAAACTGTGCTGCAGGTGTAGTTTGGATTAAGACTGAAGTGATGATGTCAGCAACCTTATTGTTAGTGTCCTTGTTGACGACTGCAGACTGCAGGGCGTGAAGGAGAGCCGCCACCAACCCCTCACACTCCCTCAGTCTCTGCCGAGCCTCTGCTCCATCTGAGCTGACGTTCCTGCAGACAAAAGAAATTCAGCAAAGTTGTGCAACACAAGTAGGTTTTTACCATTTACTACCTTATGACTGCAGCTAATGTTACCTCAGGCACCCTGAAGTGTTCTTAAAGACTGTGGTCCACTCAGCACTTTGTGGTTTGGAGGGGTCGGCTGAGTCTCTCCTCCTCCAGCCTGAGTGTGGGATGATGATTTCATCAGTTAGGGTTTGAAGTCCCTGGTTGATGATTGTCATCTTGAGAGGCTCGTGTGATGAGAGGTTCCAGAGAGTGCCTGCAGTGTGTACAGAAAATTGTTGTAAAAACAACTATTGAAACTCTGAAACTCTGCCATTTATCCTTCTGAGTCGGCTGTACCTGTGGCTAACTCTTTCACCTCCACGCTGCTGGACTTCCTCAGCAGTCTTACCAAAGCCTGAATACCATCACAGCTCTTGATGGCCATTTTGTTGTTGTGATCTTTTCCGTACGATATGTTACGCAAAGCGCCACAGGCCTTGCGATGGACTTCAGCCTTGGGATGGTCTAAGAGTTCCACCAAGATGGGTACGCCATTCAGCTGGCGGACCTCCTGTTTGATGAGGTCGTTCTCGTAGCACAGGTGCTGCAAGTAGGCAGCAGCGTTGGACTTGACGGGGTCCATTGGGTGCCTTAGCATGGCAATCACCTCGTGCAGGTTGGGGTCTCTCCAGCGGGGGTCCCTTCGGATGCTGTCCAGGCTCACCATGCTGCTGCGTTTGTGAGGAATCTGCAGGGTTTGAGCTCGACACATGGCCTGGAAGAAAGGATTCAGGTTCCCCTCCAGCTGGGCCATGAAAGCGTCATCATAGCCACTTCTGAAAAGACACAGATTGTTGTATGTTAGGAAAAGAACAGAAAATGGGTGTATATATTATTCCCTGTCTGACTGTCTTCCCATCTGTGTAGAAAATAAATAAATTGGATTTATTGACTGTGAAGTTACAGAAACTGATTTTACACCAATACCTAACTTTTCTTGGTAAGGAACAATCACCTACTGACAGTCTCCATTTGTTACCTTGGTAATCTCAAATAAAAATAACCTTTTCATTGAACTTTCTTAAAATTAACAAAGCAGGTTGGCATTATTTTTACTATTTGCAGTCTTGCCACAATACCTTATGGTTCTAATTTTCATTTCAGAGAAATATTGTGCAATGAAATAAATAATACTGTGGAAAATGAAAAAATGTAGTCATTCTTACATTCACTTTATCTTTTCATCAAATAGAGACAAAATTAACCCATGTTTTATTACTTTAACTTTATGTAACTTTTTAGCTTACATTGATTACTACATTTCAAGCCTGTAAAAAGCAGTGGAGGGGTCAGTTTTGATTAAGAATGGAAGTATTTTACAGGAGGAGACTCGAATCAGAATCAGAAGAAGCTTTATTATCATTGTACCTAAATACAGTGAAATTATGCTCGTACAGTCATCCGAAAGATGGGCAAAGTGCACGTTGCTGCTGCTACTGGAGCGCGGCCCCTTATCCTTTTTCAGAATACTTTTTTAGATAGAAAAGGGGAAAAATCCACAAGGATAGGATAGTGGCATTTAAAAAAAAAAAAAAAGATCTCCTCACACCTTGTCCTATCAGGACACAATCTAAGGCATAAAAAAACTCTGCCAGCAAGCACATTTATAAACACATTACATATGCATTTGACGGCAATGCGGTGAGATTGTCCATGAAGCACTTCCAGATAGGCCATAGTCCTGGTAAGATGTTGATCAGCCTGCACAGTTCTGTTAAGCCTTTACAAAAAAATTTATTGGGGGGTGGGGGTGGGGGGTTATATACAAAGAACATTTCCCAGGAGAAATTTGATAATCAGCCTGTTTTCAAGGCCAACTGGGGGAGTCAGATTCAGATAACCACAATTGTTGATTTTTTTCAGGCAGGCTTTTTTCTTGTCAGATTTGAGTCCAGCTGGAAGTTTCAAGATCAAAAATAGCCAGATTAGTGGGCATTCCACTGGTCCGTGCTTACGAGGCCCCTCCAAGATCATTTCCAACATGCTAGCGAGTCCCAGAAGCTGCAGGTGGCCTGTGATTTTAACAAATCGCTTCTATCTTATGGTTTAGCTCATACATCAGCTGATTTTGAGTACTCGAAGCACTAACCAAGCCTTCACACAGGCTTGGCAGTTTTGCCATTGCCAAAACTGCTGATGACATCTTCCAACACAGGAATCCGCCAATGCCAGAAAGCAGAAACCCTGCTATCGTGAATCCAATTATACAAACGTCTTCGGTGTCCTCCTGAGACAAAATGAAAAGACACATCAGCTCCCAAATTCCCCACATCCATGACGTATCCTGCTGCGTGAGTCTCAGTGGGGCATGAGGGCTCTCCAGGACCCTGTCGCTTTATTGAAAAGATTTTGTTGATTGCGTTGAAAGTCCAGCTGACCAGATCCATGACAGTAGTTTTCATTTCGGAAGATGTGTAAAATAGGAGCTCCGATACACAGAAAGAAAAAAAAAACAGCAAGCAGAAAACTGGAGAGGGAGAGGAGGCATCCACCTTGCATGAGAGTGAGTGTTTGATTATAGCAGAATTCCTAATAAGTCTTTTTTATAGCTGTCCAAAGTCCCTATTATCAAAAAATAAAATCTAACTAATGCTCAATTTAAAAAAAATGAAGTGTTCACCTAACACTGAAAGAAACTTTAAAAATATGTAAGGGTTTTTTTGTTTTTGTTTAGAACCTTCTACAAAATGCCAAGAGGATTTGACCACAACATATTAAAAACTTTCATTCAAGTGTTATGAAAGCATTTAGTCAAATATATGACTAGAAAATCTCCGAAAGTTCACGGGGAGCACACCGCCACAGAACTTTTGAACCTAAAACTCTGGATGACTCTTTTCGTCCTTAGTTTTGAGCCAAAAGCATTTCTTTAAATGAAAAATCTAAAACACTGACTGACACATTTTGATAATTTCTTGATAACTTCACACAGAAATCTAGAGTGCCTCTGCTTCTGTTTGGGCAGTTTTCATGAATGTTGCTTTTATGTCAAATCATGATGTCAAGTAGTCATTTGGAGCCATTATTAGTACCAAAGGTACAAAGTACGTTATTAGAATCAAAAGGCTTGAATTGCATCAGCGAACAGTTATTAACAAAAAAAAGTTGTTAATATCTTCTATGTACAATACTCTTACTCTTTAAGTAAATTAAATAAATGTAATTTTGTAAAAGTCACACATATTTTATTGTACTATCAACATAACCCCAACTCTTTGTGTTTTTAAGCTAACCCTACATTAAAGTATTTCTTTGACCATTTTATATATTTTATAAATGAATGTCTGCTACGAAAAATAAACCAATAAGCTGTTTTAAATGCACCCGTTTAATAGAGATTTAATTCATTTGTTTTTGTTGCAATACTTTTGGCCTTTCTAGAGTCTATAATTCGTCGACAGGGTCAGATTTTAAATGTTGAGTGTTCAGCACTCCAACGTATAAAAAGGCCCTTTTGTTGGTTTGAAAGGATTTTCAGAATTTTACGATTCAACATTTCATCGGGAATTAAAGCATTTTTCAAAAGCCTTTCAACAATAAAAGAGAATAGTTTACATAATTTTTCCACTTGTGCACTTAAAAAAAAAACTGAAGTCATTTATGTTTAGCAAAATTCTTGCTAACATAAAGACAAATACAAGATTTGTCATGTCCTTTAGTGCGCAACAAGAACTGTGAAGGTTTAGCATGTTAAATAAAACATGTCGAGTGGAATTTCTCACTGTGGCCTTTTGTAAACACTTCTATCACTCTGAATGGGCCAAGGCGAAACCTTATGGCAGGCAATAGCACTTGAAACCTCCTTATTTATCAACTTTGCAGCCGGCTGCTGTCTCTGATTGATATCAGTAGCAGCCTAGCTGCTGTCCGTCTGTCTTATTATCCACACTGAGTCATCGAAGCAACGCCAGGGTGTCCTCAGGATATCTGTGCAGCTACAGCTTTTGATTCATGTTCTTCTCAAGAAAACTCCTCTGGGCTGGAATAAACTAAAGCGTTTATTTTATGGTAGCCCGATGCAATTCCTTATAATTCAGACTTCCTTTTCCTTTTTTTTTAGTTTTTATTATTAAACATTTTTAGGTATGTCCTCATTTGATAAAGATTTTTTACGCTCATTTACAAGCTTATGGTTTTATTTTGGGACTCAAATGGAGCAAGATTACATGCAGAAATGAGACATTAGAATATGATCATTATAAGAATTAATTAGAAGAAATATCAATTTAGTATAAATATAAACCAGCCACTAAGGAGCACGAGCTATTGTATCTCTTGTGCTGGTCCCAAGCTCGGGTAAATGGTGATAGTTGTGTCAGGAAGGGCATCCTGCGTAAAACACTTTTGCCAAAACTAATAGGCGAGTTCATTTGAATGACACCATACTGGATCTGTTGAGGCCCAGGTTAACAACGAGTGTCACCGATGCTGTTAACAGAGTGCCAGCAGAATTTGTGCTACTGTTAGTCGAAAACTATGAGGAGGGAAACGTGTCAGAAAACAGAGAGAAGACGTAAATCAAGAATGTAGGACTGAGGGTTGCAACTCTAAATGTGGGGACATTGACAGGCAAAGGTAGAAAGCTGGCTAACATGATGCAGAGAAGGAAGGTAGATGTTTTATCTGTCTAAGAGACCAAGCGGAAGAACAGCAAGGCTCATAGCACTGGAGCAGGGTTTAAACTGGTTTACCATGGTGTGGATAGAAAGATAAATGGTGTAGGCATGGTCCTGAAGAAGGAGTTGGCAAATAATGTAGTAGAGGTGAAAAGAGTGTCAGACAGGGTGATGTGCCTGAAGGTAGAAGTAGAAGGTCAATGTTGTCAATGGTTATGCTCCACAGGTTGAATGTGACAGAGAGGAGAAAGATAAATTTTGGAAGAATATGGATGAAGTGATAGAGAGTATTCCAAGGGAGGAGAGAGTGGTGATTAGAGCAGACTTGAATGGACATGGTGGTGAAGGAAACAGGGATGAGGAAGTGATGGGTAGATTTGGTGTCAAGGAAAGAAACCAGGAAGGACAGATGGTGGTGGATTTTGCCAAGAGAATGGAAATGGCTGTAGTCAACACATTTCCAAAAGAGGGAGGAACATAGAGTGGCCTAAGAGTTGAGGCAGGAGTACACAGGTAAACGACATTCTTTGTAGAAAAGGAAACCTGAGGGAAATTGTGGACTGTAAGGTTGTGGCAGGGGAGAGTGTGGCCAGACAGCATTGGATGGTTTTGTGTACAATGACTGATTTTACTTTTTATCTTCTTCGCAACAACAGAGAGGACCAAATGGTGGAAGCTGAGGAAGGAAGAATAGCGTGAGGAGTTCAGAAAGGAGCTGTTAAAGACTCTGGTTGGTAAGAAATAGCTTCCAGATAACTCTTTTGGATATTGCTTTGTGTGTTGTCTGTTGTTCTGTCTGTACAGCACTTTGGTTGGCCTTGTCGGTGTTTTAAGTGCTCTATAAATAAAATGGTATGGTATGGTATAACTTGGCTACCTCAGCAACAGTATTTAGAGACAGGTAGGAAGGTACTTGGTGTGTCATTTGGACAGAGAAAACATGATAAGGAAAACCGGAAGTGGAAAAGTGAAGTGCAGGAAGCTATTTAAAGAAAGAGGTTAGTCAAGAAGAAAAATGACAGTGAGAGGACTGAAGAGAAGAGACGGGAATATAAGAAGATGTAACATGGTGAAAGGAGGGAGGTAGCAAAGGCAAAGCAGAAGATGTATTTCAATTCAATTCAGTTCATTTATATAGAGCAAAGTAACAACAGAAGCCATCTCAGGGCACTATACAGAAACGTATATGTTGAGCTGCATGGGAGGCTGGGCACTAAGGAGGGTGAGAAGGACTTGTACCGATTGGCGAGACAGAGGGATCAGGCTGGAAAGGACATGCAATAGGTTAGGTTTGCATAAGATAGGAATGGTAATGTTCCAACAAGCGAGGAGACCATGACGGGAAGATGGAATAAGTATTATGAGGAGCTATTAAATGAAGATAATGAAAGAGAAAGGTCATAAAAGCTGTGGACCAGGAAGTGAGAAAGATCAGTAAGGGTAAAGTTTGGAAAGCTCTGAAAAGAATGAAGAAGGGGAAGGCAGTATTGCGTGGGTTTTCTCTGGATACGCCAGTTTCCTCCCACAGACAACAACATGCATGTTAGGTTGCCTTCAGTCCCAGGCATCCCTTGCAAAAGAGATCTGTGATCTCAATGGGATTTGCCTGGTTAAATAAGGTTAATAAATATGACAAAGTGTTGAGGGAGGAGGTGTGGTATTGCATGAGAAAATATGGAGTGGCAGAAAAGCTTGTTAGACTGGTACAGGCAGGAACCCCCATGGACTTTCAAGGTTGCAGATGGCATTGTGATCTTTGACGAGAACAGAACAGGTGGAAGATACAGTAGCTTAAAGAGGTGGAGGTTTGCACTTGAAAAAACAGGAATGAACGTCAGCCATACTAAAAACATAGTGTGTGTGTACATGAGAGGGAGGCCGGTGGAACAGTGAAGCTACAAGGCGCAGAGGTCACAAAGGTCCAGGACTTCAGGTACTTAGGGTCAACTGTCCATGAAACCAGGGAATGAAGTAAAAAAAGTGAAAAAGTGAGTCCAGGCACGATGGAGAAAAGTTTCAGGAGTGATTTGCAACAAAAAAGTGTCAGCAAAGGTCAAATGAAAGGTTTACATGACAGTGGAGGGACAGCTATGTTGTATAGTCTGGAGACAGTGGCAGTGACAAAAAGACAGGGGAAAAAATGGAAGTGGTAGAAATTACTTTGTTGAGGTTCTCCTTAAAAGTGACAAGGATGGATAAGATTAGGAATGAGATCATCAGAGGTACAGCACAGGTTGAACAACTGGGAGATAAAGTTAGAGACCAGACTGAGATGGTTTGGACATGTCCAGAAGAGGGACAGTGGGTATATTAGTAGAAGGATGTTAGAAATGCAGCTTCCAGGAAAAAGACAAAGATGAGATATATGGATGCAATTAGAGAGGACATGGAGGTTGTTGGAGTGAGGACAGAAAGAGATGGAGGAGGATGACTCACTGTGGCGACCCCGAAAGAGGGGAACAGCCGAAAGAAGATCAATTTAGTATAAATATTAATTGCACAAAGATGATTTGGATGTTTTATGCATCCTGCCAAAAGCAAAGATAGAGTGACAATGTTTTTTCCATATCTGTCTGAGCCAGTGCTGTTAGTATAATATCTCATGAATCACCAGACAGATTTTTTATGAATCACTAAAATGACAAAACAAAAACAAAAAAACAATACATTGACATCTACCGGTACTATTGACTAACTGTAGGAGTCAACTTGATTCAAGATAGCCACCACATCAATACAATTTTAACAAACACAAATATGGCTATAACACAATCAATGTTACAGACTTAGAGCTAAGGTTTGGTGTGGTAGTAGCTGAGCATCAATCCCAGAGCGTGCTTGAGTGCAATAGATTGTGCAACATCTTTTTTAATTCATTCAACCTTTATTTATACAGGTTAATCCCATTGAGCAATGGGGACTCATTTACAAGATGACCTTTATTTAACCTGACTGAACACTGTTGGATTTTATACCTGGATTATTGAGCATGGACTTTGGTATCTTTATTTAACTTTTGGAATCAACCCTGTTTGTGTTTTGACAAAATATCTCATAAACCACTAAGTGGATTTCAGTGAAAATCTGAGAAAATATTAAATGCATCGATAGCTGCAACTGATTACCTTCAGGAGTTCTCAGTTCAAGACGGCCATTGGAGCTAATCAACCTCAGCCAATGCAAAAATGGGTATACTTCAATGAATTTTACAGATAGTGAACCAAACTTTGGTGTGATAGCTTATGGTTATTCACAACTTGTACTTTAAGCACTAACAGGTTATTTGAGATAGTTCATGAGAATATAGTTATTTTCAAAGCCTGGAAGGTGGTGGGCGATATGTATTCTTTCAAGGAGTGCTAATCCTTTTTCCTTGATGCATCTCTCACCTTGTCTTTCTATTCAGTTTTTCTAAGGCTGATAAACAAAAATAAATTTGTGAGTGCATCAAACTTTCTGAAGTTTTAAGGCCTTTGTTCCTGTTTTTCTTGCACAACGTACAAATTTCAATCTTTCAACATATGAATGTATCTGTAAGTCTAACTATAAGGTGAGTTTGTTTGAATCTGCTGCAGAGGACACCATTTTTGCAGCTGGAAATGCAATAAACCACTTGTTAGTTTTTTAAACTGAGAAGCAAATTACCCACATGAATGGATTACATTCCCAATGAAATAGTCCTTTTGAAACTCTGTCTGAGCCCACATTTAGTCTCTAAGGAAACAACAAAGTCTTTAGAACTCCTTCGCACTGCCTCCTCTTTACAGGATCAATAGTGTTTCATGTAAAGTCCTCCTACCTGGTTCTGGAAGGCTCCCTGAGGAGCTCCATGGTAGTAATTGGTCTGAACTGGTGGATTCCCCCGAGTGTTGAGTAACTGGCAGCTGGGTGTTCGGCCTTCGTGTCCAGAGGATTTTTATTGTCCTCGTTTATCTGGCTGCTGAGGCCTGCAGGGGCGTAGCTGTCCCTGAAGAATGGTAAGGTGTAGTGGGCTCCAGGCTGGAAGTTCTTGGTGGGCAGGTAGCCGTGGAGGCTGAAGCGAGAAAGGCTCCCATATCCTGCGCAGATGTCACTGCTGTTACCTCTATAGGTATCAGGGAGAGAATAGACTCTGCTCTGGCTGTTGGGGTTCACAGGGTGAGGTTCTCCAGGCTGCGACACCAGATGAGGTTGTGGGGTTGTAGTGGTGGTAGCTGTGGTCGGGGTGACAGATTCAAAGGGCTCATTGTTGGTTGCTTTAGGAATCAGTTGTTCAGTGGAGGAGCTATCTTGAACCTCCTGAGCTGCCATCAGATCAGGCGAGCCTGATGTATCGGGGTTCTTCTGCAGCACCTCTGAGGATTCTTTTGTCTCACTCCGAGCTTTCCCACTTTCCTGCTCCACAACCTTGGACTCCTGCAAGGAGCACAACGCACAGCAATTACCTCTGCAAAAGTAAGTATTTATTGGTCTTTAAAACGTAATTTGTCCAAGTGGTCTGTCGAGTTTCTATCTCTCGTTAAATGCCACAAAACCGGTCTGTTGACATTCGGAGCAAAAAGTGTTTGGGTCTAATCTGCTTGGAATTGACTCAACACGTTTTCGATACGTGCTCTGTGTGGTTAGCGTTTTGTTGAAACTGCATCCCTTCTCATAGAAACTATTAATCACTGTCATTTCTTCACATCCCTGGCTTTATGAGCCTCTAATAAATTATGCACCCTTTTTTTTTTCCTGCCAAAGAATTAAGTGAATGAGTTTAGATTGGACTCTGATGAAACAACTTGAGGTCCAGCCTGTTTGGAAACAGAATAAATTGGAGGAAATTTAATTTTCTGGTGTGGTAAATTGACTTTGATTTTAATTTCTTTGTTGTTAAGTGAAATAAAACTTGTTGTTCCTTTTACACAAATAATCGTGTTTCAGTTTTTAGACGTTCCGTTGTAACAAAGCGTCCACCAGTAAAATCGAGGTGATGAACCTCAGAGTCGGTCTGCTGTGGAGTGTCGGCCTCTGTGGAGCTCTCATTGGTCGAGGTCATCACCGAGGTGGTGGAAGTGGGCGTGTCTAGTTCATCGGTGGTGGTGGTGTTTTCAGGGGTTGCCTCTTTAACCTCCTGGGACAGAGTGAGAGGTGGGGGGCCCTCCACACTCTGCTCCTAAACAACAAACACAGACATGAATAAAAAGAACATGTCAGTCATAATTCCATCTTATTTTTGTTGTTTGTACTGAGCATGTTGAAGCCATAAACACACATGGAGCCAGCTGTAAACAATCTTATATTTACATGTCAATAAGTCTGTCTGGATGAAATAAGGAAGCTGCTGTAAGCAGAGCCGAGAGCTCCTTATATCCAGACACAATAAAACATAATGTTTTGCGCTGTAAAACAGAAAGAAATATTTTTAAATTAAACTCATAAATAACATGAAGTGCCATCTGCATCGTTACGAAACATCAGCGCTAAACCAGAAATAAGAATACACATATCAAAATGATTGATCACAAAACACAGTTAGCTAAATGCATTATTTTTTTTAATGCAGCTACCAAACTCAACATGTGAGGACAAGCACTTCAAAATAGAAAAGCTTTTTTTTACACAAAAAAGTACAAACAGACAAACAAACAATATAAAAAAGCTCATGGATTTGGTATGTCTACTAAACAACAACAAAACAAGACAAAAAACGCCATGAAACGTAACTTCAGAATGTCGGACTGATGTTTATTAGAGATTTATCATCAGGTTTAAGTACACTATTTATTAGATTGAACAATAAATAAGAAATATTCCTGAAATTTGTGAATTTTATTTTACTTTATGCATAATTAGCTTCTTGTTTCCATTCTCTAGGTCAGGGCTATTCAACTGAAATGCTCAGGCGGCCACAGTTTCTGAAAGCCAACAGTTCGGGGGCCGGACATCCAGCGATTAGTTTAGTTTAGTTTATTATTTTTTGAATATGTAAAAAATAAAAAATAAAAATAAAAACATACAACATGAAGCATAATGTCAAAACTTTTTGTTTTACATATTCAAGGGAGAGGGTAGAAGTACAAACTTATTAAAATTCCCACTCCTTAACCACTTGCATAATCTTACATTATTACATGTATAATCCATATATATATATATATATATATAT